TGTATTTAACGCCTGAGAGACTTCCAATTTAAGGAATACCAAACTAGATATCCAACCAATTCTTCCTTCATTAGTCGAATTGATATATGTTTGTGTCGGATCACAGTCTCCAGACTCTTTGTCAGCTGCCAATGCCTGGTAAATTGTCAGATTTTGCTCTGGCCTACCTTGAAACTTTGCACTGGCTTGGCGGTATCAATTTCTCTCAGCTCTCAATCCTTTTTGGCCAAATGCCCAAGCCATAGAAGAGCTGCTACATTAATCATCCTCACTCGGCAACGACCGCAACAACACCAGCCAAGAGCCAAGAGCCACACACACAAACTGATACGTGTGACAAGGACCAGGACAGGACTGGGCATGGGCATGGGCATGGGCATGGGTTGCTCTGCCTGTCATAAGTTATTAACAAAACGACCCTTTAGCCCACATATGCCAAAGCAATTCGTAGAGTGCCATCACAGGTTTACTCACTCACACAGACACAAGCAAACAGTGACTGCAAGCCAAGACAATATTTTGGTAGCACACTCCAACGACAGAGAAGGCAGCACTCGGAAAGAGAGAGAGAAAGCGAGAGAGAGAGACAGAACAAAGTGAAGCCCGAGCGTCAGTTACATTTTGTAGACTTTGTGTGGGTCGAGGAACGGGTGAAAGGGGGGAATGGGACTTCAAGTTGGTTGCATTTTGTTACATTTTCCGTGCTTTGTGGCGAGGAGTGAAGCAGAATGTTTGGCTGCCCCAAAATTATGACCACTCGGACGCAATTTACTGGCAGTGTGCCAAGGCCGCTGACGTCGCTGTTGTGGCTGACAGCTCATTGGAATTTTCATTAGTGTTACAAGTGTGCCGCCATTGAGACGGCCCGGCCAGAGTCGCCAGGCGACGGCAGTAGCAGCAGCAGCAGTAGCAGCGGTGGCGGCGACCTTTGAAAAAATCCACAAATATATACGCACGCATGCAGGGGGCGGGCTCACGCCCACAATTCAAATATGAGTGTGCGAGTGCGAGTGCGAGTGCGTTGGTGCTCTGAAATATCCAAACAAGCTTCAAGATTAATGTGCTGCGGGTAGTGCAAAAGTTTTCAAATTCTTGGCATTGCATACTTTCAGGGGCGTCGCTAACAGGATTCACATGTCCTTAAAGGAGCCCCACAGAGGCTGGACTTTGATGGCAAAATTCGCATTAAAGAACCCTCTTCACACGAAAAGAGTTGGCTGGTCCCCACTACTGGGGACAGTCAACTTTCGAGTGGCGTTACTTTCAGGGGTGTGCCGATAAACAGGACTCATATATCCTCTAAAGGCTAGACTTTGATGAAGAATTTCCCTTTAGTGTAGAAACTTGAATGTGGGCTCTCGAGTGCCAATGACAGGTAAATGGATAAAACCATGGAACACTAACGAGACTGAGTTTAAGTTAGGAATATTCCTTCAATAAATTCCTTCGCGCTTTAATAGAGTTCCTCGCATATAGAGTTGGATGGGTATTATTTTCGTGGCCAGTTAACTTTCGAGGCGCGCTAATGTGTAAAACTATTTAAGTGCCACCTCCCAGTGCCACCTCTCTCCGCCCTCTCTCCTGGAACAGACAATGTTGCAGATTTCCGCTTGCCTCTTGCCATTCCTGTTTTTGCTGTGGTAATTGCACTTTGGCTGGTTTATTACCCACACAGTCATAAAATGTAATGCACATCATGTACAAGTGCTTAAATATGGCGGAGGCTCCGCTGATGCGTATGCCCAAATTTTGACTGCCAGCCATTACCATACATGTATGTATTTGTATGTACAGTGTACACGTATGTCAAATATAGCCACAACCCATACCGCTTCGTTTCCCCTAATGAGGCTAACCCCCCCCCCCCCCCCCCCCCCCTTGACAAAAATGCTGAATTATTTCACGTGACATTCCGTACTCGTTTATCTGGTATTTTTGGTCTCAATGCAAACAGAAATGATCGCGGAAATGTGTTGGTTTTTGTGTGTCTTTTTATACCCTTTGGGCAAGGGGGGGGGGGGTACAATGTTTTAGGCCTGCCCGTTCGTTCGATCCACAAGAGTAACTAAAGCTGGGCTTCCTCTTCCTCATTCCTCTTTGTGTGTGGTTGTGTGCATTGTCCTGTCAGCGTTCGTTTGTGTTTGTGTGCAAGAGAACAAAACAATAAAGAAATGCGGCAGAAATAAATTGCAATTGTTTTGCATTTGACGCACCGAAAATATCTTCTTTGGTAAAGGGACAGGGACAGGGGACAGGGGACAGGGCTCGTCGTTATTACTGTTACTATCTTTTGGTGTGGTGTGGCATGTGTGCGGGTACTTGGCTGGCCTTTATTGTGTGTGCCTCAGCCATTCCACTGTGGCAAATGGATTTCCTTTTGTTCCATTGAACACATTGCCAGCACACAATCAAACCACACACACACACACATAGAGGTATTAAACACACATACACTCACATGTATAGACATTCGATTCACCAACTATTTCAATTAGAAAGCAGTGGCTGAGGAGGAGTGGAGTTAGGAGTCCCCGACTTTCACTACAGCGATTCCATTCCACCTGTCTACAACTTCTTGGTGAATGTGGTTAGGGGTAGCAAATGGTGTTTCTATAAAAGGAATCACACATCAACCACAACCAATACACTCGCAAAAACTAAGCTAAACTATTTCCACAGCATATCGAAATTTTGTTCAAATACAAAAACCCACAAATAGCCATTTAAGCGAGTACTGTTCTTGTTCACTGAACAATCATCACCATCATTATCTATGGATCAATGGCAAGTATACCGTTATTTCTCGCTGTGCCCATACACGAGTGCCGTTAGCTGCATGTGTGTTCGCTTGTGGAGCGGCTTTCCTTTGCTTGGCGTTGAAATATTTATATGCAAATAAATAGTTTAGCGAGCTATCAGCTTTCCCCTGCTACTGCCTCTTTCTGTGTGTGTCTGTGTGTGTTTGTGTGTGCTATTGTCATTATGCGTAATGTAATGTATAGCAAGGGGGCGGTACACAACAGTGGGTGTGTGCCATAAACAATAACCAGAGAAGAAAGGATATACTAGTATGTATGTACATATATACGAGAATTGTATTATTAGCCGTTAATGGTGCGTGGCATTTAATTGCTAATCCATTGCCTTGGTCCCGGTTCCTGGCAGATAAGGATGAGGCAACCAATATATTGCGTCAGGCCCTGAAATTCCAGTTAGCTAAATTGATTTAATTGAGTGGAATTTCTCTTAATTATTAAAACAATAAGAACACAAAACGTTTGTGGAATTTACACGGGAATAAGTTGCCTAATTAACCCAAGCTGCTTGTGTCAGTGCCATGGAGAATGTTCTGCCATTCTGGCATTGTGGCATGCCCCCATCGATTGGCATGAGAGAGGAGTGTGCTCTCTCGAATAATTGAAACGTCCTTTTGGTTTCATTATTTTTTAATCAAATTAATTTTAGAAGCTGCCAAAAGGGAAAAGCAATTTAATTAAGGTCAATGATAAATCGGGCAAATGCCAAATATCAAATGTTTAGCAAAAGCGCAATCCAAACAGACAGTAACTATTCGGAAAAATAGCACACAGAAAAAGGCTTCAACTAACATTCAGCAAATCAGAGCAGCCACGCGGCATAAAAAAAAAATCGTAAAAAGAAAACAAAAGAATACTTTCCGAATAGAATTTGCATTTAGAAAAAAATGAATTTGGGGAAATATTTATGTGCCAGGACACACACACACACACTTACACAGGCGCAAACATAGTGACGCTGTTGACTTTCATTACCTTGCGCAAATAGAGGGAAAGTCATTAAAAATTTTAATGAAGAAAGTTTTTTTCTTTTGTTTCTCGTTGTCATCATCATCATCACCGTCAATTCTCAGCCTCATCTCATCGTCAGCCGCGTCTTTAGGCGCCGCTTTAACTTTGTATTTAAATTTTGTTTTCTTAAAAGTTCTGCCCCACTTTATTGTGAACAACAATCAGGCAGGAGGTTGTGGCAGCCACAGCATCCGACGCAGCTTCTGTAGCTTCTGCGCCTGGCGCATGATTTATTAGAGCGATAAAGTGATTAAATTAAAATTGATTTATATGGCAAGAGCATGAAAGGGGGCGCCCACTGCAGGCGACAACTAGCAGACGCTTACCTGGCCCGGCGCGGCCCCTTTTATACATGCTGATTATCGCTTGAATTTCTTGGTTTTTATTTCCGGTGAGAGGAAGCAAAGCTTACCCCGCAGCAGCACCACCACCACCACCGCCACCGCCACCACTGCAGTGGTGGCCAAAAGTAAAAACTTACTAATTTATGCAAAACAGGCGGTAACGAGAATGTCGCTGGACGGAGACAGAAACTGGAACGCTGACAGGAACTGAGCGGGAGACGGAGACAGAGACAGAGGTGGAGTCTCAGGCTGAGGCTGCTTGAGGCATCGGGCTGAGAACTGGCGTAGGAGACAACACGGCGTATGATTAACCTAAATGTTCTCGTTGTCAGCGTCGTTCGGTCCTGATTTTTCCTTTTGCCCCTGCTTTACATTTAAATTACCAAACTAAAAAAATATTGCTTGGGGCTTAATTTATTTCCCGCTGCGCCGCCCACCAACACCCAACAGCAAAAAAAGGTCCTCCGCCGATCCTTGGGCGAGTTTCTGTGCTCGTGTTTGTGTGTAGCTGGCTTGTTTGTGCTGGCCAAAAGGGCAACGCAACTAATTTGCTGGGGACAAACAACTGGCCAAATAAAGAGCCAAATAAATAAAAGGAAATTGTCAAACTTTCAGCTCCCAAAACCGAAAACCCAAACCAGCTTCGATCATTTGCCCGAGGCTAATTCATCGCTTAAGCGAGTTTATGGAATGCATCTGCCCCCAACTGGGATTTCCCCCATTACATTTAAATAAAACACAAGCTTCTTTAAGGAACTGAAGCCTGAGCAGTCCGCTCCACAACGGGAACGGGAGCGGGAGCAGGAGCAGGAGTAGCAGCTCCACTTACCGTGGAGATGTCACCAGGCTCCAGTTGTTACGCTTCGGCTACGGCTACGTGTCCGCCCCTACTTCCTGCCTCTATCGATGGCAATTTCTCGGACCGTTGCCTGAGGCTCCTCCTGTTCCTGTGGTTGATCCTGCTGCTGTTTGGATTTTTAGGTTTTATTTTTGCTATTTTCTCTGCTTCTTATTTATTGCTGTCGTCTGGGCTGCTGTTGTGGTTCTTGCACTGACGATGCGGTCCAAATTGAATTTCACTTTGAAAATATACGAGCATGATTAATCACTTAACGAAGGCTGGCTGCCGGAGACCAGAACGGACCGGAGCAGACCCATGCACGGACCGGAGCGCGTAGAGAAGCGAACGCATGCTGGTAACTCGATTAATGCACTCGCAGCAGCTGATTCGATTTGGCAGCTACCGGAATATCATTAAAAGTACGAAAATATTTTCGTATTAATCGTAATAGGCCGCAAAAAAAATATTTGCAAATTTTTTTTGTTTCAGAAATATATTGTAAACTTTTTCAGAATATTGTATTTTAATTTTTTTTTAACTGATGGCACTTTTTTTGCGAAATATATTTGATGCCTTTTCAATGCTGTCTCTCCATTCATTCACTCATTCAGTTCGCTCCCGAAATTCATTCACAAAAATTGATAATTTGTTTTTGTTTTTGGGAATCGCGAACCAAAGACCAACGCGACCAGAACACCACTGAAAGCCGCGTCTCAGCGTCAGGCTGTGATGGAGCCACACACCACACGGAGGCAGGCAGCCATTAGTCGCCACGAAGGTTCACAGCGGACCGAAAGCGACGGCGGCGGCAGTGGCAGTGGCTACCGGGAGCGTGTCCTCGAGCGTGTTCGGCTTCGTGCTTCGGTTGGGGACTGAATGACGAGACCAACCAGTCGCCAGCCGCCGACGGAGGCTCGCCAACACACACGAGGACGATGATGGCAGCTCTGCCTGCAAGAACCTACCATTGACAGTCCGTTCGGCAGCAGCAGCAGCAGCAGCACCACACTCTCACACTCTCACACACACACACACACGCACGGACAAGTTGTTGCAGATTTGTGTAGCACACTTTTAGGCGGCACGCTCGGTTTTCGGAAGGAGAAGCCCGGCAAAACGCACAGCTGTTGAGTTGGCGCCAAAATTCTTTGCCACTTCCGCGCAGGCGTCAGGCTGTTATATGCCTCGCATCATTCGACTGGTAGGACAGTTCACGGCAGGAGCGTCTCAGGGTGTAAGTTGGGCTCCTTTTTGTTAAAGCGAAAATAATTGTTTTAGCCTTTCTTTTTCCAATTCTGTAACTAAAATAGTTGTGGATAGTGAACACCTGTCGTTCACCCACTCAAAATGAAATGTTGCGACCCTAAACCCCTGCAATTTTTTGCTCCTACGCAGACAAGCGCCTGCCTGGCTGGCTGGCTGGCTGGTCTCCCACTCTCGGCATTAATCGCAAAATTCCCTGTCAAAAATGTGACACACAAAATACTTGTCTGCCAGTTACCTAACGTTGGGTATTTAAAAAGTTGTTGGCAAAACTTTCAAATTAAAAAGCCCGTGCTTAAATTGTGCGAGCACAAGGATGCGAGCTCCTACGACGTCCTGGCTGGTGGCTGGTGGCTGGCGGCAGGCGGCAGGCAGGGCTTGGCACTTGATTCCTGGAACAGTGCAATCTCTTTGCACTGCAAGTCTCATTTGCCCATTCCGTTTATGGCATTTTGCATGTGTAAATACCGTCCTTATTATTTTCCTCACGTTCGCAGGGGCAAACTGACTGATGGAGCACCAAATTAACGAATTCCGTTGAAGTAATTAAAATTTAGCAGAGAGTAATTTTTATTTTAAGCTGCAAAAAATACATGAACTGTAGAGAATTCAAGTGTCTTCATAGTGGTGTGATCTTTGGGGAGAGATTTAATTTCATGTTTGCAGTTCTTGATGTATTTCCATTTGCTCAACGGCAGCGACCCCGAACAGCTTTGGAGATGCGAGACGAAAATGGGTATGGGGTAAATGCAAATGGAAAACCAACTGAAATGGGATTAAAAATGCATAACATCAATTATGAGAAGTTTTCTTAATTTTCATCCTGTCATAACTCACATTGGGCTTCACACATCCACAACTTTTCTCCTGTTCTGGTCCTTTTTTTTTTTTGTTTTTTTTTGCAGCTCCTTTCCAAGCCGAACAAGGGCAAAGGCGAAAACTTGCCATGCCACACACACACACACACACACACACATGGAGAGACTGCACATTTGTTTATTCCTCGATTGCGTACAAACATTTGCATTTGCATAGACAAGTTAAAAGCATCGCCTCCTTGCCCCAGGACCCGCACATCAGCTCCCAGAATCAAGAGCAGAACCAACTTCCTGCTGCCTGACTGCCTTCCAGTCAATGCAGCTGTCGTTGCAAATATGTGGAAAAACTGCTGCATATCCCGCTCCAGCTCCTGCTGCTGCTCCTGCTGCTGCTCCACTCCTTGTTGCATGCGAAATTGCAGATTTCATATGCAAATTTTTGCACTTCTACAGAAAATTATTCAAATTACTTGCGAGCGACAAGCATTGTGGAGTGTGTACACATACACACACACACTCTCTCTCTATAAAAGAGGAACAAACGGAACGGCACACCTTTGCACCTTGCCATTGCCCAGGACACAAAAAAAGTCAACAGCCTTGGCCGCTTGTCAGCGCCATCAATGGGATTGGCAAATCTTTGCACAGGTCCCAGGCAAAGTCAAATAGAGAATGGGGAAATATTTGTGCCCCACTCTCACCGACAACATCAATCAGGGCGAATGGGCGAATGGCGGTTCGGGTTCATGGCTTGTAATCCTTTAATATTATTAAATAATTAACACGCATTACTTGGCTTGTTTATGGCAGCTTTGGCAACGCCATCATCTCCTCGGCTGATTCTGCTGCTCGGGCGGGCGGAAGTGATGGAGCTCAAAGTCCTGCCAGGCAGTGCTTTCCCTTCCTTTGCTCCGCTCTGCTCTGCTAAGCTTCATTCTATTCAGCTCTTCTCGACGGGGGCAGAGGATTTAGCCATCAAAAGATAAACGCAATTATGGAGCAGTTAGGAACACTGCTGCGAGCACACTGTACAGTACAGTGTACACCCGTGGATCAAATGAAGACAATGCCGCGATGCTGCGAAACATGCAAATTAACAGGCACAACTTTTCCACACCGACGACGAAGGAGTTAAAGTTCATTTTTGTAAACTAAATTTGCATATTTAAATGGCATTATGCCCAGACACTTGACAGTCTAACTGGCAGTTGGCAACATTCAGCACCCAAGAATCAGACTCCTGCTCCTGCTCCTGCTCCGACTCTTGCTCCTGCGCCTGCTCCTGCTCCTGCTGTCTCCGTGTCACTCTACGGTGACGGTGACGGTGACGGTGACAGTCGGTGCCTTGTCACGTTTCTGTTGGCTCATAAAAGTGAGATTGAATTTTGAACGGGTGGGCAACAAACTCGTTCCGTTGCCCGTATTACACTCACTCTGGCTTCGAGTGCGGCTTTGATTCGGGATTGCCTCTGCCTCTGCCGCTGCCTGTGTGTTGCGCTGCTGCTGTCTGTGCTTAATAGGCCACATGAACTTGAACCCCATCGTGGTATGTGTGATGATGATGATGGAGAGGACAATTCCCAACGAAATTGTTGCACACGCGCGCGTCTGCCACAAAGTTAAAGCAAAAGTGAAACTGAAAGTTTTCGATGTCTCTGTGCCGGAACGTGGGGGAACGTGTGCGAGGGAGCGGAGTGGAGTCCCAGGCGGAAGTCATTAACGTCTGAAGCCCGAGAGTCGATTCGGTGTCATGTGTGCGAGCAGGAAATTTCATTTATAACTACTCATCACAAGATTTCTTTTTGGAGTGTGTCAAGGAAGCGCCGCATAATGAAGAGCGATGGCTGATTCACGTCCCTAACTTGGCTGTAAAATGGGAATCGAATCGAGTCGCGACCAGGTCTCTCAGGGTCATTGAACAAGGGTTCGCTTTTTGTGGCAGCCATGTGCCAGCGAATGGCATCTGGAAGGCATTCCAAGAATCTTGCCTGAAACGTGACTGGAGAGAGAATAGAATGTGACAGCAAGCAGATGGATTCAGACTTCAGAGGTTGGTTTGTGTTTTTATCAGCGCCCATCAAAAGTACTCTGCAACAGAATTTAACTGCCGCTGATGCAAGGCACTGATGCCACACCATAATTAGCCAGAAATTGCGAAATTGATGCACTTCGAACCAGCAAATTTGGATATCTAAAACAGAACAAATTGGAGAGAAACACTAAATCATTTGACGTATGTATAACGATTGGGGCACTGGGGCACTGGGGCACTGGGGCACTGGGGCGCGAGCGGCGTTTGATTGACACGACGCTAATTGGAGACCAATCTGGCTGGTTGTCCATAATGCTGAGATTAGTAGGCCGCAACATGTGCGTGAATTGTGAGGGGTGGGTGTCTGTGAAACAAGGACCAGCCTATGCCCAACGGACTTACTTAAAGCGAAGCTTTTCGCCGGAGCAGCTGAATTGATTTCAGGCAGTCTATGTCCATGTCTGTTGCCAGCAGCATTAGCTGTGTCTTTTATGTGGAATCAAATAACGATTCGGGCCACCCGCAAAACTTGTAGCAGCCAAAAGTTTTTTGGCCAAATAAATCACGATGCCAAGCCAAGAGACAAGCCAAGAACAACTCAATCGGAGAAGGCACTCGACAAGGACATGAACATGGAATGCACGCAATGATAAATCGAAAATATTTTTAGTTGTTTACACAGCAAGCATTTAGGGCGGGGGAAGCGACAGACAGTCAGTGAGACAGTCAGACAGACTGAGAGACAGAATGTCGTAGTCTCTCTCCCCTCCCAACCCACTCCTCCTGCCGCCAGCCCGAATTGACCAGCACTCAATAAAAAGTAACGCAGACTCCTCCGGCCACTCTTTGCTGCTGCTCGAGGAGGAGGAGGCCAGTTTAATGAATGAACAAACAGTCGGGTCGGACAAACGGAGGATTACGCTGACATTGGACATTGGACCCAGAGACTGCCCTCCTGACCTCCTCGGCCAGCAGCGCTTCAATCGAGTTGAGTAAACAAGTTGCGCGTCCTTGTCCAATTTTAGTTGCTCGAACAGAAGGAGTCTCCTTCCTCCCTCCCAGTCGGCACTCAAGTGTTAATTGTGTGCGTGATTTAAGCTTTAGTTACCCTGCTCCACCCTCCTCCAACCGTTTGAATAATTGCTTTTTGATTGTGTTCAATGCTGCGAAGGCTTTCCTCTGCGCTTAACTTTAATTTGAATTCTCAATCTCTTTGCATTCGTCGAGCACGGCGCAGCCTTCGCAGCAGCAACAGCAATCTAATATTCCGTTCTGCAATGTTTTATCCCCTCGAACTGCCGCGGCCACGTCAGCCGCTCTATGGCAAGAAATTTGGACTGATCAGGGCCCAACAGCAGCAGCAGCAGCAGCCACAGAGTTCCGGGAAGATCAGCTGCAGACCCTTGGGAAAGCTGTGGCGTCTCCTTCTTCCATATCTCAAGGAGTACACGGCTACCTCCTCGGTGCATGGCATACGATATCTGGCCGATCCGAAGCTGAAATACTTCGAGAGGTATGTCATTGTTGATCTTACAGAATTCTCGGACTCCCCTGCGCTTCCAGCAATAATAAAGTATTAAATTTTTGTGCATAGAATAATTTGGCTGCTGATTCTGGTGGCCACCAGCATTGGGGCCAGCGTGGTGTACGTTGATCTCAGTGAGCTCTACCAGTCGGTGCGTATTCAGACCACCATCAGGAACACAATGCTTCCGATATTCGTTGCCCCCTTTCCCGCCATTGGGATCTGTCCGCGCAACCGCGTCAATTGGAATAAATTGGAGAACGAAGCGCCCTATCACTTCCTGGGTCCGAACATCACTGCCGCACAAAAGCAGCTCTTCATTAGCTTCTTCACGGCTGCCTCCGACACGCACTTGACGCGTCTGACAGAGATGTCGAGCTTTTTTGGCAATGCCACGCTAGCGGCCGACTTGCCACTGCTGAATGGCTTAGATGTGGCAGCAGTGATTGAGTACATCCAGCTGGAGTGCAGCGATATCTTTTCCGTCTGCCACTGGCGCGGCAATCCGCTGAACTGCTGTGAGATTTTTGAGTTGCAGTTCACAGAGTCGGGCACCTGTTGGGTGTTCAATTCACTCATCAGTCCGGCAACGAAACAGAAAGCGGTGAGTGAGTGAGTGGTCTGGTTAGATTAATAACTCACTTGCGATTTGAGCTCCACAGAAGGAGAGCAAGTACTATCCGCGTCGCACACCCCAGTATGGCGAGGGCTCTGGCCTGGATATTTTCATGCGAATCAACAAGTCTCTGCTGCACTCCAACAAACGGGGCGTACACGTGATGGTCAAGCAACCGCAACAGTGGAGCGATGTGGTGCGCTATCTGTCACACGACACCCACACCCAGATCAGCATGGTGCCCCGCCTCACGACCACGGATCAGCGAACCCGGGCCGTGACGCCGGACATCAGACGCTGCATCTTTCACGACGAGATCCACCATCCCAAGTACAAGAATCTGCAGGGCTTTGAGTACTGGGTGGGCAACTGTCGCAGCAGGTGCCACCAGGAACATGTCGTCAATATGTGCAAGTGCTCGCCCTCTGTTTTCTTTCCGGTAAGCGATAAGGGTGAGTAAGAGTGCCATCCCTTGCAAGTTGACATATCAATAAGGACTCTGTCCATTAGATAACTTTACTGTCTGCAAGCCATCGGACTTTAAGTGCCTCTACGATAACAGGCGTGAGTGCAGCAGCATACCAATTAGTGGAATCTACGGGCATAATTTATTATTGTTTCGCCATCAATTTTACAGGCACTTTCAGCTCGGAACGGCATCCCCAGGAGAATAAGTACGTGGACAGTCTGTACAAGGAGAGCATGATCTGTGACTGCTTCAATAGTTGCACTCAGCTAATCTTCGATCGGGTATTCAGTAGCAGCAGCTTAGAGTAATTAAATGCCCAGCTGGATTAAATGCCAATAGCTAAACCAATGCGACTCTTCCAATCTCTTTCAGCTATAACGAGACCGACACTGAGGTGGGTACCATGCGCCTGGACTTTTTCTATCAATCGGGCTGGTTCATCCAGTATCACACCAATATGCGCTTTACATTTGTGGAATTGCTGGGTACGTTGCATAAATCTCAGCTCTTGGGCCAATTATTTTGATTGATTTGGAATAAACCTTTCAGCTAGTTTCGGTGGCATAATTGGCCTCTTTTTGGGCGCCTCACTGCTAAGTGCCTTCGAGCTGGTCTACTACTTCACCATTGGCCTGTATTTATATTTGCATGGGCAGAGGAAACTGGAGGAGCAACCACACCCACAGCCACCAGTCATAACTATACCCTTTGCACAGCGAAAGATTACACCAGTTAAGTATATGCGTTGATGCGATTATAAGTACAATTTGACGAGTATCAATGACAGACAGTATACAAATCAATAAATAACATTCACCAAGCATTCCTATGGTGCTGGTGCTGCTGCTGGTGCTGCTGCTGGTGCGGATGCCTTATCTTGCTTTTGGCCTGTTCCTTTTGGGTTGTATGCACCTGGTGGTCAGCTAGGTGGGTGACTTCGTTCTGCAAATAGCTCTTGAAGGTGCGCCACTTTATCTTTATTTTGTGCTGGAGTACGCCAAAGTATGCGTTGTCATAAAGATGCATGCCAAAGCCGATGGTTAGATAGTAAATCAATTCAAATGCACTGACCATAGACGCGCCCAAGCACAGGCCAAAGATGCCACCCAAATTAGCTGAAAAATAAATACACATATCAGAGAGAGAGAGAGAGAGAGAGAGCTCTTAAAGATGCCCAAAGCCCAATACCAATCAAATCAATCGTGGTAAACTCCAGACTGGTGCGGTACAGCGGCGTCGTCTCCACTTGGTAGTGCACATCCCCCTTGAAGAGTTTCTGCTGCGGATTCTTGGGACTGCAAAATGGTTTATACAGCTTAAAAAGGAACCCATTTAAATGCACCAAAAATCCGTCTTACATTCGCTTGGCGGAGAGCGGCAACGTCGTTGTGGATGTGTAGTAGTCGAGCAGATAGCAGTTGACCAGACAGGAGCATGTCATGCCTGGCTTGGTGGCACTAAACAGAGCATCCTCCTCCCGACGCTTGTCGTAGCTGAAAATATCTGCAACGAAGCATTATCCAGTCTCTCGTTTGGGCTGATCCTTACCATTATTCCTTGCGAGGCACCGCAGGCTGGTTGCAGTGCATTCCTTGACTGGAAAAAACAAGTTCAATGTCAACTCAAGTGACACAAACAGTCTCTGTGTGTTCCCCAACTCACCTTTTTGGTTTTGCAGAAAGAAAATGGGCAGGGAGCAGTTGCAGAGCTCAATCAGGTACGACTCGTGGCACCGATTCAGACAGTTGGTCAGCTGAAAGGGTCTGCCATACTTCTTGGCCGAGTCCGCGGGATCCAATTCCAGCTGCTCGTCCACAAACAGACAATTGCGACGCTCGGGAGGAATGCTCCGGGTAGTCTCATCGGTCCACGTCAGGTCGGGCCGAACCGTCACATAGGTCTCGGTGTTTTGGGTCATGGAATAGACCACATTGCTCATTTGGTCTGGCTTCTTGATCATTATCTGCAGCATGGAGTAGGGATAAATGCAATGGTGGCCACTCCCATAGATCTACATACATACATAGACTTTGTCGGTAGCCAGGGAGTTCGGTCGCTTGAAGCTCTCATTGATGAGCAGATCAAAGTTGAGACCCGTGCCCTGACCAGCCTTCGCATTGTGACGCGGATAGAATTTGGGGCCCTCGCGTGCCTTGATCTCCTTGGAGCGCGGCGAAAGCTCCGAGTTGAACACCAGACAGAACCCGAACTCCGTCTTCTCCATTACAAAGTACTCGCAGCAGTCGAAGGGCGAGCTGCGCCACAGGCACGAGTCCGGCACAATAATATCCTCGCAGCTTAGCGTCAGGAAATATGCCAACGTTGTGAGGTTAATGAAGTTCATTGCCTCGAGATTGTCGTCCTTCAGCTCTGACAAGCCGGCCGCATAGCTGCCAAAGCTCAGCGTTTCCAGACGAATAACCAAAGTGGTGAAGGACGCCACCAGCTCCGAGCTGGCATTGGCAGGCAGGAATCGCGCCTTGGCTGCCTTGAGCTGGCTCCAATTGATGCGATTGTGAGGGCAAATGCCAACGGCTGGAAATTCAACGAGAAAGACGGGATACTGCGGATCTTGGACGACAGTTTGCAGCTTCTGCGACACAAATCGTTCCGACAGCATCAGATAGAAGAACCACGACAGGGCAATGCTGCCGCAGAGCAGCAAACACCAGATAAGTCTGCAAAGGGACAGCACAATTGGTGCATCAGTGGCCAATCAATCCACTTGCCTGCTCAACGCTTAACGCCTGCAGACCTCTCCAGGTTGTGCAGCTGCGGATCGTAGAGATAGCGGACACAATGGATGGTTGACTTTTCGCAGTAGCTCCGAAAGTAGACGCGCAGCAACTCCATAAAGCACTTAGCGTCAGCCTTCTGCGGCTCATCCGATTTGTCGCCATTCGCCATGCCGGGACGCGTGTCGTTGATTCACTGAGCTGTGGTCCGGCTGCCGGGGAACCCTTTTATGGAATGGCTGTGCAAATTGCTGTGGGAAACTTTTATCGGACAGGCATCCATTACGGTTCACATCGGCCTGTAATTGAGTAGTTATGTTTGCGGCAAATGATAAGCCGGAAGTGGAAGAGGTGCGTGTCCGTGTCGTCGCACTCATTGATTAGCGGGCTCGCCTCCCAATTAACCGTGACTTTACCCAGCCCAAGTCCTCAGTCCTTTGGTTGAGCGAAATGGGTGAAGTTGAGTGGCAGCCTGATCCGCAACTCGGTAATGACGGCGATGATGATGATGTTAATGATAGTGGGCCGGGCAAGCAGACTAAGTCCAAGAAAAAGGACAAAAAGAAAAACAGTAAATGGCTTTCCATTAGGCGGTAGGTTAACCACACACTTTCGCTGACACTGCCCCAACTTGAACCCCCCACTTGAACCCCTTTGCAGCTGTGCCCGCATACCACTGAAGGTGATCTTTGCCATTGCCACTGTCTATGTGTGCATCCTCTCCTCGGAGCGCTACTTTTACTACTGGGTGCAAACGACCATCGAACGCACCGACGTCCACGTATCGGAGATCAGTTTTCCGGCAGTGACCATCATTCCCATGGTTGTCACCAATCTCAATATGTCACAGGAGGCGCAGCGCCGCACCAGAGTCTTCAATATGGCGCGGGCCGTTCTCTGGCAAACCCCCGATGCAGCCCGACTCGATGAACATAGCTTCGAAGAGTTTGCCGACTACGCAGATGTGGATCCCACCATGCTGGACTTGGACTCCATACATGATTCAGTGCAGGATTCTTGCAAGCATTTCTTTATGGAGTGCACGTGGCGCCGCAAGCCCATGAACTGCTGCAGTCTCTTTCGGTCAGTCTCCACCTACAGGGGACTTGCGTATGTCTTCAACTCGCTGCGCTGCGAATTGCCGGACGAGACTTGGCCGTGGTCCGTGGCTGCTTCGGGTTCCCTCAGCGGCCTCAATGTGAAAATATATCGTAATCAAAATTTGTTTACTCTAAATATGCTGGCGGTGAGTTAACAATCAATTGTATCGATAATAATGACGCCTTTGTGCACCTCTCCAGGTGATTGTGCATGAGCCCACCCAGCTGCTGGGCCAAAGTATCGCCTATTCCTCGGAGGATCGTATTGTCGTTCCCGTGGAGCCACTGCGCTTCACAGCCGAGGCGGATGTGAAGGCTCGTCCCATCGAAATGCGCCGCTGTCTGTTTGAGGTGATGCCGGAATGAGGTTTTTTTTTTTAACGGGAGGAAACCATTAAAAGTTTTATCGTTGCAGAGTGAGATTGTGCGGCTGGGCCAGTCACGATCCGAGTGTATTTACAAGTGCCATGTGAAGTACATCTTGAAAAGATGCAACTGCACCCTGAATCTGCCCCGTCCGGTGACTACAAGGGAGGAAAATACCACAGAGCCGAGCGACCACAAAGCACAAGCGATTTGTGGCGTAAAGCACTTGGCCTGCTTCAATAACAACAAACGTGAGTCTTGTTATATAGTCTAGCATATGTATATGTATAGCAGTATTATCTGATTACCAAGCAACAGTTTCGCTGTTTGCCATGAGCAACATCATCGAGGAGTCCCGGGCGAACGTCTTCAATACCATCGACTGCGGCTGCTACCCCCAATGCGATCACACACAGTACCACTCCTCCACCTACACCGAGCGATTGAGCAGCGTGGAGAACAACAATTCGGTGATCGAGATAGACGTATACTTTCAGGAGGAGACCCTCTTCTCGTATCGCTCCATGCTGCGCTTCACCCTAATCGATCTGATGGGTGAGTCTCACACACACAGACTTCGATGGAATCTTACCAGTTGTCTTACCCACTCCATCACTCCACAGTTTCCTTTGGTGGCATAGCCGGTCTGATTATGGGAGTCTCGGTGCTGGGCTGGGTTAATGCCATCCTGGATCGCTTCGCCTGCTGTCGCCTGCCCAACGATGGCTAGCCACTGCCACTACCACTGCCACTGCCTCTTCTCATCTTTGTTCTGAATCTGTAACAGGCGAAGCAGCTGCGTTCCCACGTTTCTTTACCTGTAATAGAAACAACACACCAACACACAGGTTATTCAGACGAACATAAATAAATCCAGAACACACAGCGCATTAGGGGGGTATTGTTTAGAATTTAACTACCTGACGATGCAGTGGAAAACTCTACCTTGCCCGACAGGCTATCAGGGTATTTGGGAATTATATTAGTAAATAAAATAGTGCATATGTATATGTATATACCAGGTATACGTATACGAAGTGAGTGCACATGTTCTGAGATTGCATTGGGGCAACTTATTCCTAAATTAGCATACAACTTAAAGTTTAAGTTAAATTCTTGCACAATGACATTTAAGGTAAGTTAAAGCAAAGTTTAAAGTGAGCCAGACTAGGCCACATCAGCCCATTTGTAGGTTATCAGATGTCATAAAAATAAATCTTTGTTGTCCACTTGATCACAACACACAAAAGAGATCATCGCTGGCAAAGTTCCCTCTGAAAGAGCATGAATAAATCGAATTGGGTAGCAGCGTAATCTCCATCCCCTGCCTCTGTTCGAGCATTGACCGTCCCATCCCATTCCATTCCATTCTAGTATTCAGGTACCAAGTCCATGACGCTCCTGGGGGTATAAATAGCAGCTGGTCTGGCCTGATCCGGCACAGTCTTCGCTCCATCGTCCAAGCCGTCGCCGCCACCTCCGCCATCACAACAGCAAAATGAAAGTCTTAGTTGCCATCTGCGTGCTGATAAGTTTGGTAAGTGTTTGCCATGGATGATCCCAACCCCAACCGTTGATAACCCTTCAAATCTGAACCCAAAAATACAAATACAAATAATTAATTAAACAATTTTTTTGGTGCCGGTCACAGGCCTCAGCCGAATATGTGCTGAAGAATCGCGATAGCATGCTGGCCTATCGCGACGAGTGCGTCAAGGAGCTGGCCGTGCCTGCCGATCTTGTGGAGAAGTACACAAAGTGGGAGTATCCCAACGATGCCCAGACCCAGTGCTACATTAAGTGCGTTTTCACCAAGTGGGGCCTGTTCGATGTCCAGACCGGCTTCAATGTGGAGAACATCCATCAGCAGCTCGAGAACGGACATGCCGACCACAACGAGTCGCTGCACGCAAGCATCGCTGCCTGTGTGGACCAGAACGAGCAGGGATCCAATGCCTGCGAGTGGGCCTACCGCGGTGCCAGCTGCCTGCTGAAGGAGCATCTGCAGAAGATCCAGAAGAGCCTGGCCCCGAAGGCCTAGAAATAGCAATGATAGCAATTACTGATAGCCATTAATTAAGTTAATAAACCGATTCAACGTACCACTTGACTCCACACACCCATCTTAGCTGCTAATGGATGGGTTGGGATGAGTGTCGGCTCGGGTTTCTGCTTGGGGCAGAAGTTCGTCAAACATTGGCCATTCGGAATGTTGCTGTACACAAAGGAACTCGTGGCACCGCGTCCAACACGCGGCCAAGGTCTGCTTCGCTTCAAGCAGAATCTGCTGAGGAAGAAGCTCCTGAGTGGGCTGAGCGATTCATTTGCCCAGTCCACCATCCATGGCATGCGTAATGTGTTCGTGGAGAGGCATTTCTGGGAGCGCTGCCTGTGGCTGGGCATCGTAGTAGCAGCGGCCGTCACCTGCTTCAGTCTGTACTCCGTCCTGTTGCATCGCCACAACGAACAGCTGCTGGTCAGCCTGATAGACACCACCCAGCTGCCAGTATACCACATAGACTTTCCCGCGGTGGCAATCTGCCCCTGGAATCATGTCAACTGGCTACGTACTCCCGCTGCCGCTCTGCGATTCTTGCCCCGCAACGCCGATGCCGAGCTAAGGGAAACGTTTCGCCAGTTTCTCATTGTCCTGGAGCAGACGACCTTTGTGAACTTCAACAAAGCGGAGAGCTTGTCCAAGCGCAATGTTACAGCGCTGAAATCGTTGAATGTGAAAACGATGATCAACTATTTGTCCCACCGCTGCGACGAGCTGTTCGTTCCGGACTCCTGTGTCTTCGATGAGACGCCCTACGACTGCTGCAAGCTGTTCGTGTCGGAGCAAACCGAGAAGGGGCAGTGTCTGGTCTTCAACTCGCTCATCTCGGAACATTCGCGCAAGAAGCAGCTCACCAACCAGTTCTATCCACGCAAGCTGAGCACTGCAGGCGAAGAGTCGGGTCTCAAGTTCACTCTCAACCTGAATGCATCCTATCTGCGAGCCGGCACAACACTTCCCCATGGAATGAATGTGGGTGCAGCATTTGCAGCAGCGTAGAGGGGTTTTCCCATTTAATTTGATTTCCTTACTCACCAGCTAATGATCAAGGAGCCTCGTCAGTGGTCCACTAATAATTTTTACCACCTCCATCCGGACACAGAAAACTTTGTGGCAGTGCATCCCATGGTCATCGAGACATCCCCCAACACAAACAAAATGAGTCCCAAGAGGCGGCGGTGTTACTTCGATGTGAGTACTTCGATTTGATTGTTGTGGAAATGCTGTTTGGTTTTCTTCGAGTAGAACGAGAAGAACCCTTATTACCAGAACACAACGTTGGAGTATAATCGGGCCAACTGCATTACCGTGTGCCTTCATCAGGCAGTGATGAGGATCTGCAACTGCACGACACCTGCCTTCCTGCCACCCATAGGTAAGGTTCTCTCTCAATGCACCTCTCTCTCAGATGACGTCCTACAGTTACAGAGGGCATACGCGAGTGCGGAATCTTGGATGCTAAATGCCTCAGTCTCAATGCCGATATCTTTAGCTATGCGAAGGTGCGCGACCAGGATAAGTACATAAACGACTGGCGACGCGGTTACGTCTGTCATTGCCCCGAAAATTGCAACTCTCGACAATACGTTATGTCGCTCAACGTCCGGAAATTGATTTAGTAAGTAAATCAAACCCACACCCAAATCAGAATCACAATCTCACCAATTTCTTTCGCCTGGACAGCGACAAGAACGAGACCAACAGAGTTATTAAGGGACAGGTATATTACGGCCAGCGAGTGATGACCAAAATCGTGACCAAACTGAAGTACACAAATCTCGATTTGATAGCCAACTTTGGGGGTATCATTAGTCTATATATTGGCGCCTCTGCCATTAGTTTCGTCGAGCTATTCGTCGTGCTGGGCAAGCTGCTGTGGACACTTATCCGGGAGGGCTACTCTAAGGCAAAAGAGTGGATTATACGCGGATAGCGAATACTGATACGATGACATATATTTATATTTACTCTGCTTCTTGGTAACGAATAAAAACACGAGAGTTCAGAAAGTTAATGGAGATGCACGTCACTTCTGCTTTGTTTCTTGGTCAGTCGGATATCGTATGTAAATGGCCGGATGTGGCACGGTGGCAGGCGTCTCGGGCAGTTGGTCCAGGTAGGAGCAGCCAATGGCCAGGGCACTGCCATCGGAGCTGAAGTTTAGAGTTGAAATCGAGGTGTCATATTCGTGGAACTGGCACAGGCGCTTCTTGTTGAAGCCGTCCCAAATATTAACAATGCAATCGGAGCCGCCAGTGGCAAATGTGTGATAAACGTTGTGGAAGCTGAGCGCATTCACCGGGTATATCTGTTCGATGTTGTTATCCCTGTTGCGATGGCATTTGAAGGCAAATTTGCGACGCTGCACCTCGGGATCGTGGTCCAAGTACTCCACAGCCACACGGCCCTCAATCGAGGACATCACGTATCCCTCTTTGTTGGGGAAGAGGCGAATGCAACGCGTCTGGTACTTCAGCGAGGACTCGCGCTTCATTATGTAGCTGTCCATTTTGCGCAGGTCCCAGATGAGCACCTTGCGATCGGAGGTAGCCACCACAATCTTCTCGTCAATCACAGACATGGAGTACACCTTGCCGTTGTTCTGCTCGAAGGTGCCAACACAGCGCTTCTCGCGCATGTCCCACAGCTTGACATTCTTATCCCAGCTGCCCGTCAAGATGCCGTTCACGTATTCGGCATGCTCCACACAACGCACCGCCTCCTCGTGGGCGCCCACAATGCTCTCCGTCTGAGTGTTCACATCGAAGAGGCGCAGCTGGTTGTCCAGCGATCCGCTGACCACGTGCACAATATCCTGCGGCATGAACAATTAGTGGAAGGTCGGTTAACAATCACACAGCGTACATACCATGAACGCACAGTCCAGAATTGGCGCATCTTGCAGGAATTTCTGCCGCATTTGGTTTGCCGCCACATCGTAAAAGCGAAGCGTTCCGTCCCATGAGGATGCCGCCATATACTGGTTCGACTTGGGGCCAAATTTCACAGCCGATATCAAATCCTCTGGCGGATTGTTCAATTTAAACTCTGGCGGACGCATTTTGTTAGGTTTTTAAGGTTTTAAAGGTACAATTAAAATTAATTTCAAGTCAAAACAGCGCAAAAAACCGGCGTCACTTGTTTCCAGTGTGACCGACCGCGGAAATATACCAAAATATACCATTTCATTGTAGTAATTTACCGTGAATATACTGACGGACATGACATGATATTCCTCGATTTTGATATTCGGTTTAATATTACTAGCTAGTTGGCCCACTTAGCCCTAAAGAAATAATTTTACCCGATTCCTCAATAAGTTTTTTACAACATTGGCTAGTTTTCAGAGCTCCTTTTAATTGGATTGCTTACATAAAAGGATTCAAGCAAAACAAGTCAGAGCATAAAACATGATTGTGTACCGGAATGTGACGTCAGTGTTGCTGGTCAACAAAGTTCTTCTATGCGTATGGACATTTTTATACCTTATTTTCGTAAACTTATGTTACATTTATTTTCCAAGCTGCTTTGAAATATTAGAAATGATAATGTGTTAATGTGTTGACATGTTCTTTACCTTTAAATGCATTTGATTTGTGTGTTTGTATATGCAATTACCTCTATCCCAATACCTTTTATTGTTACCCGTAAGCTGCAAAAACCGAGACTTACGAACATTACCTCTATTCGATAATATCTATTTTCCCAAGGTGTGGATGAGTGTATGAGGTGTGACGTATGACGTATGACGTCACAAAATCCGAAGCTTTCAAGGATAAAACACACCTCACCAAATAACTCACCTTGCCATGACCCATTCGAAAGAGAGCAATTCACGCTCTCCCGACTCATTTTTGCGCTTAAGAGTGAGTCCAAAAATACTCCACAAAAATACAGAGGAAATAACAAACTTAACCCACTTAGCCCCCTCATAATTGAACAGGTGCACAAAATGAGTTAAAATGCGGAAAATAATACCACGTTATCTTTCATTTGAAATCGGCAACAAATTTTTAATTTTCTCTATATCCGTGGTAAATTGAAAATCGACAATGGGCTAAATTTCAGTATCTTGTGTATTTTCGATATCTTTGCTGCAAAACTATCTAAGACCGTCATAGTACCAAAAACAGACGCGACTTTACCAGCGCCACTAATCGTAAAATGTAATTCAGATGTAACGATTTTTCGAAATACAAAATGGATTTGTACTTTTCATTTGATTTAATGTTTCATCCCCCCACAGGCCCAGGGAATCTTCAAACCAGCTTTAATTATCTGTATCTGTATTATTTAATATAGTCAAGAAACACCTACTAACTCTACGAGTATCCGTTTCCTCCGCATCCAACTCAATCAAAATATTTGGCTTACACTAAACTACAGGGATGCGGAGGGAGCACACGTAAATGGCATAACTCTAGTAATATTCTGGAAGTACTAATTTTGGTGGTTGCGTTGTTGTTCACGGGTTTCCATCCTCCGTGGAGCCTTCTGGGCTGCTATTACTTGATTTTCCTACGAAAGGACCGAGAGGACTGCGGCCCGTCGTTGGCAGTGCTCAGCGCAATGGCGAACTGTGCCGCATAGTAGGTGATCATGATCTGCAGACGGGGACAGGGCAGGGGCACGCCCACGAACATTGTGACGGCGATCAGGGCATCGGAAACGACAAAGAGAACGGCTCCAACGGCGCAGAATATGGTGAGGAAACTCTTGGCATCCACAGCCCGTGCGAGGGCGCGCCACAGCATGGTGGTGATCAGGTAACAGTAGATGGGTACTCCAACGATGAGTATCTCGTCCAGTTTCTCGTGCACAAAGTACACAACTGAGTGGGAGAGAGAGAAAACATTAGATGGTGTGGCATGGCAAGGCGCTTAGGCGCCACTTACACAGCGACACGGCCACAAAGAGAGCCAAGCCAATGGCCCACTTGAGTGGCTTCCAGCCAAAGGCGCATATGTAGAACACATGGGCCACCCCAAAGCTCACCATGCCAAAGGGAAAGAGATTGACATTGAGCAGGGCATCGCCGCCGCAGGAAAAGACCAGACCCAGAAGTATCCACAGTGATCGGCGGTAGCTATCAGGCAGATATAATTAGAATTTATGGAAGATGCCTAAGAACTAACTTACTCTTTGCTAAGCGAGCATCCCTTGACCAGCACATAAAACATCAAGGCCACAATGGGCAAACACTTGAGCACTGTGGTCCATAGCTCGCCTTGGGGATCCCGGCGCACCAGCGAGAAGTACAGTATCAGGGCAGCCACAAAGGGGGCCAGCTTCGGGCCATGTGCTTTGACCTTGGTATATAATGTGTGGAAAAGATTATCAAGAGAAGCATATTATGAAAATAACCACAAGATTATCGCTAATCAAACCATGGTGGGTCCAAACTACGCACACACACACACCAGCCCGATAATAAAATCGAATGGTTTCGATTCTGATTAGATTAACGCGTTGTTGGTTGGTATTGGCAAACCTCCCTTAATCAAACATTTATGGTTTTTATGGTGATGTTAATTTGCATACCATTACCGGGTACTTAGGGAGGTTCATGGGGTGGGGGGCCCCTTGGAACTTTCGCTTTTACTGCACGAAAGAGCTTTTCCTCGAGCTGCACCACTGCCGATTGAGAGGGCCACTGCTCTCCAAAGAGCATGGGAGATGTGTGCAAGGTCAAGGACGAAAGCTTTACATTCATTTTACAGGTTTTTGTGTGTTGCGGTTAGATAAAGCATCCGTTCAGAGCAGAGCAGGCACGGCACACAAACACAAGCACAAACAAAGAAAGGTAAGAGCACGAGTATACAGAAAATAAATCAAGCTGGAACAAAGGCAAACAATGGCAGCAGAGTATCAGATTTCTGTATTGCATGCGACAAATGCGAGTAGAATCCAAATACACAGCTCAGCTGACTCCACAGATATTTCAGTAAATAATTATAATATATGTATCTTTACTTACAAATATCCCAAAATCGTTCATTGTGTGGATTATGGCGGTAAATTGCTTTTAATAGCGTCAATTTAATCAAGCTGCACTTTCACACGGTTTAAGCGGTGGGCCACGCCACCGACTTGGAATCGAAAATAAACAAAAACTTGACCAAGTCCACCTCTATCTCTATCTCTCTCTCTCTATCTCACACACGCTCATTGCCCCCCCACGCCAAGCGACAGAACACGTTGCGCACTTTTGACCAACGTCAACAAACTGAAACGTAGCGTTTAATTTTCCAATTCGCTGCCACACAGTTTGATTGCTGGAGAGTAATAAAGCAAAAGTTTTCAGCTGGGAGCGCACACCGGTTGACCAGGGGGTTGGGGGAGTGGAGTGGCTGATGGGCTGGACAGTGCCTCCATGTGGTGTGCAGCATATGCAGCATTCAGGCTGCCCGCTTGCAGATACACCAACGGACGAGGGCAGAGATTGATTATTTTGTACCTTTGCTTTGCTATTATCAACGCATGTGGAACGCAAGAGCGCAAGAAGCGAGAGAGCAGAGAGAGACTGCATGTGAGAGAGAGAGAGAGTAGAGACACTGCTTGCTCACGCAACAGGTTAATATTGAAGAATGGATGGCCCCAAAAGCTTCGCCAGCATCATTTTAGAATGAACCCAAACGACAGACATGCGCACACTCTCACGCTCCCAATCTGTTTCGCTGCCGCAGCAAAATTCAAAATAATGCAACAATCTCTGCACACTTTCACTGGCTTTTTGGAAAGCTTTCCCCGAAGCTTGAGGCAACTTTTGCTCAAGCTCTCCGCCTGGCAACGTTCCGTGTGCCGTTAGTTAGCCTCTTTCGGGCCGAAAGTTCATTCCGTTTCAAGTTGTGGCATTTTTCAGGCGTGCGAAAATTCCTTAGCTGTCCTTCGGAGAAATTTCCAGCAATTAAGTCACCTTTAAGTTGGCCAAAAAAGCAGTAGTGCGTGGCTAAGTGCAAAAGCGTGCTATTGACAACAACCCACAATAAGTGATACTCAGGTGAGCCACAGCCTAAGAGTATGCAATACAAAAATCTGGCCAAGCAAGAAAAAAAGTTGGGTCAGCGCTGGGAAAATTGTGTATCCATTGTGTGTGTGTGGGGTGGTGTGCAGGAGAATGCAGGACAATGAGCAGAGGAGGTGGGTGCGGGTGCTTCCTGTTGGCAAATACACACTCCTGTAAATGGGTGACCGACCAGTGACACACTTTGGAGAGCAGCAGCAGCAGCCAGGAGCCAGGAGCAAGGAGCCGTCTCGTTATAAATTATGCAAAATAAAATTATGGTTATGTTGTTTGCTAGAAAGCGAGAGTGCTAGTGAGTGGAAGAGAGAGAGAGAGAGAACCTTGCCAAGACATGCACACACTTGACCTCCGAGGAAAAATCACACACACACAAACACACACACATACTGATATGCAGCACACACAGATATGTAATGACGAGACAGGGACATGGACGACGCTTGACTGCAAAAACCACTCGAGCCGAGGAGACAAGACACTGCAGCAGCAGGGACATGCCTTTATGGGCCATTTGGCTCACGTAGACAAACGCCACCCGACCCCAATATAAGTGCACATTGAACTTGAGAAGAAATCCCCGGGGGGGTTGAATAGATATAGAGACCCAGTCCTGAGATTCAATCAATGAAAAAAGTACGCGTATTGAGGGAAGTTCGTTTACAATTCATTGCAAACTAAAAGCTATCAGTGGTAATTACATGCTCATTGTGAGCTTTTAATTAATTGATTGATTCATCGATAATAATGGAATTGTTAATGTTTCGAAATCCTCCACGTATGCAGCTCCAATCAGGCAGCAGAAGCAAACACGCAACATGGCGTGTCCCTTCTTTCGACGCGCTGACTCGCTGACACGTCAGCCCTCGGTCATCGCCGAGCCGGGCACCCATTGGACGCTCGAGGAAGAGGAGCTGTCCCATGATGCACTCACTCTGACCCATCTGCAGATGGCCATACAGCTGCTGACGGCACCATCAAACGATGATCTCAACACGGCCGTCACTTCGCTGGTGGCCAAGTATCGCCAGAGCTGGCCAAACATCCACAAGCTGTGAGTAGCGTTAAATCGGCTGGGAAAATTACGCCTAAAGTCCGGTTGATATTCTGCCACTTAGCAAAATGGATCCAGGCACATTCAAGAGTTGCGCCAACTATGACTACCTGGCGGACATCCAGGAGCTGTTGCTGAAGATGGACGAGGCCAGTGCCAGCGAGATTCTGGTGCTGCTCGGCGAGGAGCTGATCACCTGCTGCTGCACGGGCATAATTGAGCGGGCCTTCCGCTGCCTGGGCACAGATCTGCAGGAATTTCTAGGCTCCCTGGACGGCGTCTACGATGTGCTCAAGTTACAAGAGGTTCAAACATAGATCAAACATGATTCAAAGTGCCCATTACTGAACCACATTTGCCCCTTTAGGAGGATGTGACCGACACTGGATTCGTGTGCGCCGGCGAGGGCGAATTGATTTTCACTTCGGAGCGTCCGGTGATCGCCTGGCTGCTGCTCGGCTCCCTCAAGGCCCTCACCCGCATGCTCTACAAGGTGGATGTGAACATCAAAATCGAACCGGTGGAGGGTGATGCCCGTCGCTATCGCTATCTCTTCTCGTTGGTCAAGGACAGCTCCCAGACGCTGCAGATGGGGCGCCCCACGCCCATCCCAGAGACGGTGCAGCGCAGCAGCTCGAGCAATGCCTCCGATCTGCAGATGAACTCCTCCAGTTTCTGCAAGATGTTTCCCTGGCACTTTATCATGAACGAGCAGCTGGAGCTGGTGCAGCTGGGACGCGGCTTCAGCAAACTCTACAAGCCGTATCTGGCGGACTTTGGCAACCTGGCCAGCACCTACTTCGACTTCAAGCGGCCCAAGGGTCTGACCATGAAGTTCCGGGACATTGTGCGGCGCACTTACACTCCGTTTTTAATTGGGCTAAACAGCCCGCCCGGCGTGTCGGATTTCCCGGCCATTGGCTTGGAGATCAAGGGCCAGATGGTGCACTGTCCGGAGTCGAACTCGCTGCTGTTCATCGGCTCGCCGTTTCTCGATGGCTTGGATGGGCTGACCTGCAACGGTCTGTTCATCTCCGATATACCGCTGCACGATGCCACCAGGGAGGTGATTTTGGTGGGTGAGCAGGCCCGGGCCCAGGACGGACTGCGCCGGCGCATGGACAAGCTGAAGAGTCGCATCGAGGAGGCCAACTCGGCGGTCACCAAGGAGCGCAAGAAGAACGTCAGCCTGCTGCACCTGATCTTTCCCGCTGAGATTGCCGAGAAGTTGTGGCTGGGCTCCTCGATCGATGCCAAAACCTATCCGGATGTGACCATCCTGTTCAGCGACATTGTCGGCTTCACCGGCATCTGCTCGCGGGCCACTCCCTTCATGGTGATCAGCATGCTGGAGGGTCTGTACAAGGACTTTGACGAGTTCTGCGACTTCTTTGACGTCTACAAGGTGGAGACAATTGGCGATGCGTACTGCGTGGCCAGTGGACTGCATCGCGCTTCCATCTACGATGCCCACAAGGTGGCCTGGATGGCGCTCAAGATGATCGATGCCTGTGCGAAGCACATCACCCACGATGGCGAACAAATCAAAATGCGAATTGGCCTGCACACGGGCACGGTGCTGGCCGGCGTGGTGGGCCGCAAGATGCCCAGATACTGTCTCTTTGGCCACAGTGTGACCATAGCCAACAAGTTTGAGTCCGGCAGCGAGGCCGTTAAGATCAACGTCAGCCCCACAACCAAGGCGTAAGTAGCAGTGTCTCAAATAGATGCTCACGACTCCCCACCTAATCCACATTCATCTTTGCCTGCAGTTGGCTGACCAAACACGAGGGCTTCGCCTTTGATCTGCAGCCCAGGGATCCCTCGTGCCTGCCCAAGGAGTTTCCCAATCCGAATGGCACCGAAACTTGCTACTTTCTCGAGGGCTATCGCAATTCCTCTCTGGAGAGCGGCCTGCCGCTGGTGCAGCACATCGATGCTGCCATGAAGACCATATCCGAGGGCGGCGATGCCTAGGCCAGACCGGGCGAATCACTTGCTCAGTAGCCACAGCCATAGCCATAGCCACAGCCATAGCTATTCAATGTGTAGTTCAGTGCACTTTTAGTCAAATTGTGTTACCCCTTGCCGCCCCCCCTAGAGCCCCGCCCGCTTAACCACTTTCAAGAAATATATATGTACTTCCCGACTTCAACGAGTTGCGTTCCAGCACAAAAAATGTGAACACTTTTATTTGTCTCGAGGGATCGTAAGCTAAGCTCTTGCCTTGGCCGCCTCGGCCTCGGCTGCCTCCTGCTTGGCCTTGAGGAATGCCTTCACCTTGTCGCCGATCTTGCTGGCCATCAGACACTTGTGTCCACGGAAGGCCCACACATCCGCTGGGCTGCCCTCCTCGTTCTTGTCAATGCAACCCTGGGCGATCTCCAGGGCCTCCTCCTCCGACAGGTCCATCCGGAACTGCTTGGCAAGACGATCGGCATGGTAGCCCTCGTGGGAGCAGAAGATGCCCAGCTTCTGGGCGAAGCAGTACAGATACTCGCGCACATCGGCCTGGTCGAGGAATATCAGCTGCTTCAGGCTAACGATCTGTTCGCTACTGAGGGGATGCTCCTTCAGGCACTCGATGCGTATTTTCTTGATTTCCTCGGAGTTCTTGGGCACCCACTCATCATCGGCGTGGGCCTGCTTGCGAGTGTTTTATTGATTTAATTGATGGGATGATGGGATTATCAACTATCAATGATATTCAATCGATATATACACACCACAGCACAGAGGGCCAGGGTAAGCAGGAGGTACTTCAGCATACTGGTATCGTATTGTTTGTATTGTTTATTGCACACACGATCACGTATCAGTTGAAATTTCTAGACTGAATCGCCGACGGCTCGGCTGCCTAGATTTATACCGACGCCACAGCCACATCCACTGCTGATAGCTGGCTGGCTGTCTCGCTGCCACCAGCTGCTCTGTGTCATGAGTTCAGCGATAAGCCGGTCCAGCGTCTAACTATATTATATAATTGCATTGCCTCTGGTTGATAAGCTCAATCCAGAGCTCACTTACCGAGTGGAAATCAGCCGAGACAGAGTATCAGCTTAGACTTCGATGCTAAAGTCGTTCCTCGATTAACTTGTTTGTGGGGCAGCTTCTACAATCACATGCCAGTTGGAGATGGTACGTTGATTTTCATATTGAACATTGATTTTAACTTTAAATGATTTATACAACAGGAGAAATACTTAACTTGTAAACAAGATATTTCCTCTTTAGATTCTCGCGCTGTTTCACTTCCGCTTTATAGCTGCAAGCTTCTACTTGTTATGAATTCAATTCTAATAAACAATTTGCTGTAATCAAGAGTTGTAATTGAACCTACGTTAACCTCAACAGGTTGGGCATAGAACGATTCCATTCATCTACGAGCCAAAGGAAGCTTTAACTGATTAATCACCAGCAATTCAATTTATACACTCGACAAAAATAAATACGGGAAATGTTATGCTTAGCAAAATGTTTTTCAATTCTTCGGTGAATTAAATATAATATATGTACAAAGTTATCAATTATTTTTGCAGTGTATTTACATAGATTCTCATTAGCATGGCATTGCACTTGAACGCTTATCAGCTTTTGGGGTCACCAAAAAGAAAAACAAGACGCAATGGATTCCCAATTACCAGTTCCAGTTCCAGTTCCCCCCCAGCCATGTGCGCTGATAACAGCTGATAAATCGCGGCCAGCTTTCACCCATCACGAGAGTAGGACTGATCCAAGTGGCCAACTGTCAACCGTCAAGCGTCAACCATCAGTACGTCGGCCATTATGCAAGCCAATGCAATCGTATTTAATTAAATCAAATAAAACTCACAGCTGGCGGTCGAGTCCAAAATTAAATACCCAGTTCGGCCCCAGGCGTCTAAGAGTTGTCATTACCATAGGATGAGTATGTAGCCCATACCACCATACCATTCATACTCGTATGAATAAGCCCGATGGTTCGCTGGGAACCACGCGCCCCGACCTGACGACCCCTCGGCATATGCGAGCATTCAAATTCAACTAATAACAGTTGCCTCCACCCGACGACGCTGTCAAAGGGGCGTACTACAATTTCCAGCTACGAGCATAATACATAATTCCAGGGAGGTACTGCCCTTAACTGAGGGTTAGATAACAGGGTTGTGTCAGAAGGAGCAAGAGATTCCAGTCCACCAGCGCGCTAATAGTTGGGTAGTTGGCAATCGGAAACAGTGTTTATGCCCAAACAATGGCTATGATTAGCATCGCATCGGGCTTCTCACTTTCGCTCGCCATTTCTTGCCCGAATCTCTGCTCTGCCATTATGTTTTTGTTGTTGAGTTGTTAGCAAAAATTATACCAAATATATAGACAGTAGAGGCTCGAAAGAATGAACATAATTAACAGAAATCTAACCATGAAAATGATTTAAAAGAAAAGAAAAAATCTACATTGGTACGATATAAAACCCTTTCGGCATATTGGCTACTTTTCAGTTGTATAACTTCAGCATATCGTGAGTTCACTGTATAGTTCTTTAGTTAAATGAAAATTACATCAACACCCCAAGCGCGTCAATGGCCCAGAGTCAGGGAGCAGCGACTGTGTCGTAGTGTTGTGGCCAGCTCAAATTACTTAGCTGTGAATCAGAATGGGAACGAACTGATGCTGGAGATGGGATTGGGAAACTGCAGTTAACGATCCCATAATCGGGTGTCGAATGATTTGCTTTGCTACCGGAATTCGCAATATTGTATAAATTGTCCTCCTGTTCCTTGAGCCATTTCTTGATCCACGGCAATTGTTTGAAATTTGAGTTTGAGTTTCCGGCTGACGTATGGAATGGGTGCTAGCTGGGTATGGGTGCTGCAAGGATATTAGGTTGGTGCCAAATTCCAAAGGTATCATTGTATTTTGTGTATTTTTTGGCGTGTGTCATATGACAGGAATACGTACGAGAGGATAAGTTACACAAAGGCTGAGCGTAGCAAATTCGATTAGGGAGATGGAACCTACTGCTACTCGGGAAACATCCTGGGATATATATGAGATATCATATCTGCATATGACACAAGACAATTCTTGCAACTTGCGAGCAGCGAGCAGATTTCTCTGTGAACAAAATGGCAGCCAAGCAGTCACAAAAAGTTTCCTTGAACTTTTAACAAAATTTCACGTTTCCATGAGTTTCCGGTTTTTGTGTGTGTTTTTCTTTTTTCTTTTGCTTCTCTTGCTGTGTGATTGCCAAGAAAACTCTGCCACCCACTCTACCTACCAGGGGAAAATGTAATTTCATGGCTCGCTGAACGAATCCGAATACATGAGAGTTCAAAGTTTCAGCTTGTATCCAGGCGAAAGCGAGAGGGTCACAGTCACCAGTCAGCAGTCACCAGTCAGGATGCTGGCAGGACCCGGGCGACACGACTTGAAAGCGCAGGAAGTTATTTAATGAGATTTTCTTCATGTCAAAGATAAGTCGAAGAAGAAAATTCCATGGCCTGCGACTAAGTAAGAAAACCAATTGGTCTTGTAAAACAATATGCAAAACAACAAAAACAAACCAACAATCATCCATCCACACGAAGGAGGGTTTGTCCGTGTCTGCTGTGTATCTGTGTATCTGGGCGTCTGATTGTCATTGTTGAGTGAGCCAACTGAAAAGGATAAGCGTAGACCGACAATTGTTGCACACACTTGAAATTAAATTAACTTTTTTGTGACCCTCTCCCCTGTCCATACTGAGCGGTGGAGTGGCAAAGCCGCCGCCGTCGCCGCCGCCGTTGGTTGCATTGTTCCAAGGTCTGCTGCCGCTGACAGTTCCAAAAGGAACGTTGGCGCTGGGGTTGGGCCTGGACCTCACCGCAACTGGAGACAATCGAACGCCTTGTCGACTCTAGCCATGATTGCTCAAATATTGGCATTGGTCAGCGCACAATAAACCGAAAAGAAACTAAAGAAAAAAAAAACACCTAAAACACAAGTTCAACTGTTCAGCAGCAACAACCAAAGACAGACAGAAAAAAAAAAAAAAAAACATAAACAAACAAATCGCAATCCAAATGAATGAATGAGGCAATGACGCAAGGAAATCTCATTAGCCGCATGTCTTCAAGTTTCATTTTTTAATTTTGTACAATTTTTGTCGTTGTGTGTGTTGTAGTTGTTTGTTTTTTGTTGGATCTTTGTTTTTTGGGCATACGAACATACCACAGGAAAAGATCTTTCTTTGTATATATATTTCTTTTTTTTCGGTGGTCTTGATCAAATAATTTTGCGGCCAATGCATGTTAAATATTTGTCAACATTTTAAGGCACTTTTCTTTTGTTACCAGAGGGTACGCCTCGCCACTCTCGCCACTCCTCGCTCCACCATCCACCATCTTTCGCTCTTAACGATTCAGAAGCAGTTGACCACTTGAGTCCGTCCGTTCGTCCGTCCGTCGGAGTCATCAAAAGAGCAAAGCGATATGTGGCACACACACATGACAACCAACAGCAGAAGCAGCAATAACAAGAGTCAAGTAAAGTAGCAATGATCCCAAAGTGATTTCAACTTTCCTCAACCTCTGGGCTTCTGGCCACTTCGGCCATCGGCTACTTATTACACACAAGCACACCCAGAGATCCCAGATCCCAGGGTTCGGGGGTATCCAAGATCATCTGCGCTTCTGCGATTGATATAACAATTTACAGAGGTCCCAGCCAGCATTGTTCGGCAATACCCTGTAATGATTATTTAATCTGTTTCACAGTTTAAAAATATAATACAAATTTCTGTTTATATCCCAAAGAAGATATTAGATAATTTTGTATATAGTTTCTATAGTTATAAGATCCAGATATTAGTAATAATTCAAGCATCAAATGTTTCCCATAGTACAAATGGACTTAAGTCCCAAAATCTTTTCTTATTTACAGTGCACTGAGGATTGCCTATGCCGCGATTGATTGATTTCCATTTCTCGTTATGGTTTTTTTTTTATTTGTATTTATTTGTTGATTTCATTTCCATTGTTGTTGCCATGCCGCGCCATCCGAATGTTGCCTTGGCGGCCGTTCATCATTATGACTGTGTGCCACTGTGTGGTGCGTATTGTTTGCATGGGCCTATGCCGCCAGCACCAACGCTGCACCACCGGCCCTTCCCTGCCCCGCTATGAGGCCCTATATATGGGAGCCAGCTCAAGCATGAAGACAGGCAGCCAAACCGACGACATAATGGACATGTTTCAGCTTTTGTTGGCCGTCGCAACGGTGTGAGCGTGAACGAGTAGGAGACAGAGTTGTCAGCCTCAGCGATGTTCAGCTAATTTGCATATTTGGCCGCAGCGAAAACACTTCACAAGTGGCCACCCAGGGCAGCTCCACATCCAACGTGTATGTGTGTGTGTGGTGTGTGTGTGTGTATATAGGCGCACTTTAAACAAAGTTAAAATGCGAGAAATTGGCCCTGCGCAAAACACCAGTAGCCCGACAGTGGTGGCTGCGGCAGCGGCAGCAATACCAACAACTTCTAGCCATTTACTGTTGCCAACAACTGTGACTGTGACCTCTCCCAGCGGAACTGGATCTGCCCACAGCCCCACACAACACACACACACAAACACACACACACACACGTGGCTGAGTGCGTATTGGTGCGGTCCTTATGGCGCTCTCTCGCGCCGACTGATGCTGATGCTGCTGCTGCGGCAGCTTCCGCCTGCTCTTCTATTCAGTTTTGGAAACTTGTTTCTTTTGGCCAACTTGTACAACATTGTTGCCGCTTTATGTTTTACTATTTGGTCGTGTATGTGTGCCGCCCGTGTATCAGTGTGAGCTGTAGCTCCGCCTCTGCGGGTAGGCGGAGTCTGCAAAG